ATCAAAATACTACAAAGTACTCTGATAATGATCGGGAAAGAAGAAGTTTTCGAGCTTTCAAACACATTTCTTGAACTAGAACAGGGACCGAAAATGACTTGATTGGATAGAGAATTAAATTCTGCATCCAGTACAGTATTCTTATAGTCTCACATTCCATAGGAATACCAAATGGACATCAAAATACTACAAAGTACTCGGATAATGATCGGGAAAGAAGAAGTTTTTGAGCTTTTAAATACATTTCTTGAACTAAAGCAGGGACCGAAAATGACTTGATTGGATAGAGAATTATATTCTGCATCCAGTACAGTATTCTTATAGTCTCACAGTCCCTAGGAATACCAAATGGACATCAAAATACTACAAAGTACTCGGATAATGATCGGGAAAGAAGAAGTTTTTGAGCTTTTAAACACATTTCTTGAACAAGAAAGGGGACCGAAAATGACTTAATTGGATGGAGAATTAAATGCTGCATCCAGTACAGTATTGTTAGAGTCTCACAGTCCCTACGAATACCAAATAGAAATCAAAGTAGTACATAGTACTCGGATAATGATCGAGAAAGAAGAAGTTTTTGAGCTTTTAAACACATTTCTTGAAGTAGAACAGGGACCGAAAGTGACTTGATTTGATAGAGAATTATATTCTGCATGCAGTACGGTATTCTTAGAGTCTCGCAGTACCTCAGCATACGAAATGGAAATCAAAATACTACAAAGTACTCGGATAATGATCGAGAAAGAAGAAGGTGTTGAGCTTTTAAACACATTTCTTGTACAAGAACAGGGACGGAAAATGACTTGATTGGATAGATAGTTAAATGCTGGATCCAGTACAGTATTCTTGGAGTCCCACAGTCCCTGAGAATACCAAATGGAAATCAAAGTACTACAAAGTACTCGGGTATACAAGAGGACGACATCGACGAAATAGATTTCCAAAAGGTATTGTAATTGACTTGGCTGCGTTCTGTTCAGCCGATGTGACACGAGCTATGATAATTAAATTTGAAACATTACGGTTATTTATCCTTGCATGTTTGTCGATTCGATTATCACTGAAGCAAGATCCTCGTATGTACTATTTATTGCTACAACAGACAGTCTACTCTTCCGTTAAAGATAAGAGACCAGGCTTTTGGTATGATATTTATTTTATGGCTAAATCAGCTTCCTATATCAATCTATGGTTACTATCAGCCACATGGTACTTGATAGGTATATATGAAACTGGACAAATACTGAAATCATTGATAGAAAAATCAACGATAGTTCGCCTACCAAAATATTTGTGTGAATCAGATCCAAAAGGAAAGATGCGAAATACATTTCAAGTATTTCAAAAAAATCGTGATATTGCCACTACATGCGCAATCTTCCAGGACAGTAATTTTCGTTAGTAAGATTAGCCGTGCTCTATTATTTTTTCAATCCCATTTTCAACTCTTTCATGAAGTACCTGAATAACCCACTCGTTAAGAAAAGGTTTTCCATCGAATTTTAAAGATTTGGAAACGAATGTAAAACCTCTAAAAATTCAGTAGAACAAAGTTTCGTATCGCACTAAAAAAACAAGCTAAAAAAACTAAAAATGTCACAGCGTCCGCATAAAGCTTAGAAACGCCAAGTACGTTAATGAATCATAATCTCTCACTATTGAGCTGTGGTGGACCGTGAAATATTGTAGTTTCACAAATGTTTTGTTTTTCTGACGCTGGAAAAGTTAAGTATAAAAGAACCAATAATAATTCTTCGCAGAGTGAAATTAAGCCAACAAAACTATTCCTTATGACTACTAGTCAGAGAGAAATAGACAATAAATCGACTGAAGCTTATCAACAATAGTGTTAATGAAGTATCGAAAAGAGAAAAGCAAATCTACTACGTGGATTCTGAAAAGGTAAATACATATCCGTGTGAGATTTTTTGGATGACAATAGGATCTTCTTTCTTCCCAGAGCATGCTCTAAATAAAAAGCGTATGCTAGAAAACGCCCAAACGCTTTCTCCAAAACACATCTCCGATTTTCAGATCCAGATTTGACGACATGAATCTGTACTCGCCTCGCAAAGTCAGTTTTTCGACAGCACTGCGCAAGATGCTATATTTTTAGGATCGATGCGTACGAGTGCCATTCTTTGTTTTTCTGCATGGTACATTTTTTGACTTTCGATATTTAAAATTAAGCTAATCAGCTGAGCCATATTCCAGTAACGCAGATTCGACCTTTTGTTGTTTAACAAGGCTTCAAAAAAGTCAATCTGTGCTATGTAAAGTGTGCTTATTACAGGCTGTAGTGCTTTGTAGCACTACCTGTCTCGTCCTTGTAATTAGTAGTCATGGTTGAGTAGCGAGAACAGATGCATGTTGTGAAGAAGACAGCAAGGAAGGAACTTTACTGCTGTAGTATATGGACGTTTTAAAAGTAGCTATGATACAAGGAGGTTTAAACGAAGTTAAATTTTTTCCAGTCGCGCAGGTAAGGTCGCAGATAGCCTTTATTACTGTAAACTTGTAGCCTCAATAATTCATTTAACTGTACACAGATCTCAGAATAATACACACGAAGATTGTTTTTTCTCGTACTAACTAGTGTGAGTTTCCACTGGTTAATACATCCGTGATCGTGTAGTCTAGTCCTATTCACGCACAGAGGATTGGGCTATCCCGCTTAATTCACAGGATGCTGTATTGACCCAAGCCAGTAATATCATTTATCTGCGGATAACACCCTGGTAGTCCAAGCGTGAACGCTTTCCTCACATACGTATACCGGTTACTCCAGTGGTAAAACTCACATGAGAGAAAACTTATATTTTCTACTCACACTCTGTGATCCTATTCTAGCCTTTTATCGAATCAAATGATAAATATCAGTTTTGAACAACATAGATTAATCTACTAATTTGTAAA